CTCTCTCTCTCTCTCTCTCTCTCTCTCTCTCTCTCTCTCTCTCTCTCTCTCTCTCTCTCTCTCTCTCTCTCTCTCTCTCTCCTCCGGTGGACTGTAAGCAGTGGTGGTCCGCGGGCTGTGGTGAGCTGTGGCCGTTCTGGGCCGTGGTGGATGGTGGGCACTTGTGGGGGACACAGGTGAGTGAGACTGCACCTTTCCTTCCTTCTCCCCCATTCTCTCTCTCTCTCTCTCTCTCTCTCTCTCTCTCTCTCTCTCTCTCTCTCTCTCTCTCTCTCTCTGTGTGTGCATCTCGTCAGCATGCCGCCCTGCTCCCCCCACCCTACCTCTGCGCTCCCCCTCGGCCCTGCTTCTGCGCTCTCCCTCCCTCTGCCCTAGCTCAGCGCACCCTCTCCGCTCCTTGGCTCGTCTTCCGGAATGAGATACAAAAAAAAGCTCCGCGCTCCGCCCTACCTCTGCCACCCACCTCCACTCCTCGTGCGCTTCCTCTCTGCCCTACCTTTGCGCTCCTCCTTGACCCTACCTCCGCGCTCCCCCTCTGCCTTACCTCTGCTCTCCTCCTGCGCTCCGCCCTACCTCCGCGCACCCCCTCTGCTCCTATGCTCTTCTTCCTACCTTTGTCCTCTTCTCCGCCTTACCTCTGCGCGCCTTCTGCGCTCACCCCACTTCCGCCGTGCTCCGCACCCTCTCTCTCTCTCTCTCTTAAACTCTCTCTCTCTCTTAAACCACCACTACCTTTCCAAGCTGTAGTCCCATTTGGGAAAATGACCTCATCCGAAAAGTTCGGGGGTCCGGCGTAGGGTTGGCAGGAAAGATCTTACGATCCTGGTCATTCCCAAAGTGCAAATTCACTATGAAAGACAATGCCACCCAATTGCGAAAGAAATGAAAGCACTTGCAAAGAGGTAGAGACCAAAGAATAGAGAGAGAAGAAGCAGCAGCAGAACAAGAAGAAGAAAAAGAAGAAGATGTACACCAGCAAGACCAATGACAAACCCCCCTTCTCTCTCCACCTTCCTCCTCCTTCACTTCGCCAATCTTATTCTTCTTCCAATAATAATAATAATAACAACGAGTGGATGAACCGGAATCAATGTCCGAAGTTCCCTCTTATTGCTGACACAACAACAGGTTTACCATAGCTATGGCTTCCCTCCTCCTTCCTCCTCTCACATGCGTAGCCTATGGCGGACTACTGAGGGTCATGCCCTCCTGTCCAAAGGGCAACCCAAAGCAGCTATGGCACTGCATTCCTCTCCAAAGGACAGCCCAAAGCAGCTATGCCGCTGCCGCCATGCCTAACTCTGCCTCGAGCTTCCTTGGTGTGGCACTACCCCAACTGGGGCCTTCCAGATGCAGCGCCCAACAAGGTGATGAAGATGGTGTCCACCATAGCCAGGTAGGTCCCTCGCCACTCTCCTTCTTTGCCACCTTCTTCCTCCTCGTCAAGCTGGGCTGCTCGCCATAGTCAGGCTGAGCGCCCAGCTGCTCTTCACCTCTAGTCAGCGCTGCACAAGTCCAGCGCTTGGCTCAGCAGCATGTCGCCAATCCTTGCATACCGGAAATGAGGAGGAGCTGCTTGCTCCTCCGGAAGATATAGCGGCCTACTTGCCACTTGGGCGGTGACTTCCTAGGCCGAGCGGCCTCCCAGCAATCAGTACCTCCTCCCTTTCGGAGGGAAACATCATTGCAGGCTCTGCTATCGTCCGGACAGGCCCTAGACTCAGGCTACTTGGACTGGTACCGGCCTACCTCTATCCTACCGCTACTGGGCCTCTAAAAATGCCAACTTTTTGTCTTCTTCTGCTCGGCCTCCAGTACCCGACGTCCTTGCTGAGGGACAGTCAGTCTCACCAGCACCTCGTAGAATGTATCTGATGGCTACAACGGCGTTTGGGAAGTTTCTGTTTTTTTTCTTCTTTTTTTTTTGGATCTTTTTCGGATGTAGCTGCCATGAGTACCAGAAAAGAAACTACAATGGGATCCAGGCTTAGCAAAACTTGGTGCGCAGTGAAAATCAGGCTCGGCAAAAATAAGATCGGAGGTGGTGGTGGTTTAATACGTAAAAAGAAAAATCTCTTAATACGTAAAACAAAAGCCTCACCCTCCGCCCTCCGCTTCTCCGCTCTCCCTCTGCTTCTCCGCTTTGCCTGCACTGTCCCTCCCTCCCCCCGCTCGCCCTGCCCGCTACTCCGCTCCTCCCCACTCCCTCCACTTTCCCCCTCCACCCTCCCTCCGCTCCTCCACACTCCCTCCACTTTCACCCTCCACCCTTCACCTTCTCCTCCCGCCCTCTGCCCACATTGCTCCTCCGGCCTATGCTCCTCCCCCTCCCACTTCCGCCCGCGGTCCACCTTCGGCCTGCACTCTGCACCCTCTCTCTCTCTCTCTCTCTCTCTCTCTCTCTCTCTCTCTCTCTCTCTCTCTCTCTCTCTCTCTCTCTCTCTCTCTTAATACATTAAAAACAAAAAAAACATGCACCGTCCGCCCTGCACTCCTCTCTCTCTCCGCTGCTCTTTCCCTCCGTCCGTGCTGCCCCTCCCTCCGCCCATGCTGCCCCTCCATCCGCCCGCGATGCCCCTCCGCCCTCCGCGATGCCCCTCTCAGCTTCTTGTCTCCATGCGCCCTCTCCCTTTGGTTCCTGCGCTCCACCCATGCTGTCCCTCCGCCCTCTGCTCCTCCCCGTCCCCACTCCGCTCTCTCCCCCTCCCTCTGCCGTGCCTCCACGCTGCCTCTCCCATGCTCTGCCCTACCTCCGCACTTCCCAGCCGCCATACGTCCACGCTACCCCTCCCTCTGCCCTAGCTCCTCGCACCCCCTCGGCAACTCCGATCTTTTTCCGAAATGTGATACGGGAAAAAAACCCTCTCCCTTTGGTTCCTGCGCTTCACCCATGCTGTCCCTCCGCCCTCTGCCGTGCCTCCACGCTGCCTCTCCCATGCTCTGCCCTACCTCCGCACTTCCCAGCCGCCATACGTCCACGCTACCCCTCCCTCTGCTCTAGCTCCTCGCACCCCCTCCGCAACTCCGATCTTTTTCCGAAATGTGATACGGGAAAAAAAGAGGCTGTCCGCTCCCTGTCTGCGCTGCGCTACCTCCACGCTCCCCCTCCATGTTACCTCTCCGCTCCCCCTCCATGCTACCTCTGCACTCTCCCTCTACCCTCCCCGCCTCCCCTTTCCCTCCGCCTTCCACGCCCGCTTGCCTCCCGTGCTGCCCTCCGCCCTCCGCTTCTCGCCTCTCCCTCTGCACTACATCCGCCTCCGCTCCTCCGCTTCTTTCGAAATGTGATGTGAAAAAAAAAAAGGCTGCGGGCTCCAACCTACCTCCGCCCCACCTCCGTGCTCCCCCTCCTGCGCTGTGGCCAGCACGCCTTCTTTTTCTTTTTTTCCCTTTCATTTTTTGGGGGCGAAGCCGCAACAGGCACCTTGTGTATGCTGATATTTGTGATGTGCCCTGGTTGCTTGTCTGCAATTTGTGTTCTGCAGTGCTGTTAAATGATATGGTTGCCCTTTGGCGAAGAGCACCATTCAAACACACAATAATGCACAAGGAGTGGTAAGCGTGCGGCTTGCAAAGTTGTTAAAGGTTCGACGTTGCGAGCAGCCTTCGGCCACTCGTGAATTCTGGTACAGAATTATATCCTGCCTCTGAAATATCTGGTTGCTGAACTAGTACATCAATTTGCCTTCGTGATTGACATCCACATTGGGCTCGAACTCCGGTGGCCTTTTTTGGGCTTTTTCCCCTGTCTGTCCAGGAGTTCATCTGCTGATTTTACTGGTTTTGAAATTGATATGCTGTGCCACGTGAGGAGGGCATTGTTGACGAACAACTGTTGTTTGATTTTAGAGAAGGATTGGGTTATTATATTTTAGAGGGTGCTGTAGGCAAACATACCCGGTTGGATTTCCGATCATTTGGGTAACTCACGAACGAAGGTCTGTAATCGAGAAGTGACTGACATAGGGAGAGAGACAGCAGAATCGCATTCATACCTTTACCTTCCTTCAGAGGACGGGCAGCACAACACAAAGACAGTTGTTTTGCACTGGCGGCTAACATCCTCCCAAGGCTTGTTGGCGAAAGCTGGGGCATCTATAGTCGGTATTCTTGAGCGTCTACCTTGCAGTCCTGAAAGGCCAAATAGGTCTCATCATCGGTAGTGGAGTGAGAGGAGTGAGAACCGTACATGCGATGCCTGCTTCACCTATACCTTTCCTTAGAGGACAGGCAGCGCAAGATGGAACATACTCTATTTTGGCAGAATCCTTCAAGTTTTGTCAAAGACTGCTGCTTCGATGGCCTCTAATTCTTTTAGACTCCCACTCTTACATCTCTGGATGACCATGTATATCGATCGTGTTTGTATTGTGATGAGCAGTCCAATCCTGCAATACAAGCTACGCTTTTTTTTTGTCCAGTTTATTCATAATAATCTCAGCTTTTGCCTTTTTTTTTTTTTTTTTGTGAACATGTGTGTGCAACCGGTGGGATTGAATCTGCTTTTTGCCTTGTTGATTTGGCCATTCCTCGAAAGTGAATGACCGGTATTGTGCTGCTGATTACAATTACAGGGCTGCCGCCTTCTAATAGCCTGTCCGTCCGATCCAGCATTTTGGTACGCAGAACTCAGTTTTTCAGTATTGTGTCCTTGCTGCTGCTGGCTTGCTTGGGAGTGGTAGTAGTATTAGGAGAACTGTAAGTCCTGCACGTGCCCTTCGCCTGCTCAATATCTGTCACCGGAGGCACCAACTGCATTTTGCCTTTTCAAAGATTGGCCAAGCATGCACAGCGAATAGAGGAGATAATGGCGGGGAAGCATACCCGCGTGTGAATGCATTTTTTYCTTCCTCGTCCAGCATTGTGTGACACGGAGCACACGTAGTTTTTGCTGTACGCAGGTTTCAGAGGCGGCCTATATCTTGCGTTTCATGGTTTGCAGGGGGTTGAAATGTGTGACGCAGGGGGTAGAAATGTGTGACACACAGCATCGTGTGACACAAAGCGCTGCTTGCGGTGGTATTGGCTTTGTGGCGAGCAATGCCCGTGGTGCCAGTCTGGTTGAGAGTTGAATCGGGATGATCCCCCTGGGAAAGATCCGTCTCTAGCATACCGTTTGGAAATGCCACTCCGTTTGTTGTCAGAAGCTCATATGCTTCATGGCAAAGTCGTGTTTCTGTTGATTGCCTCTTGAACTAGGCGACAGAAAAAGCCAAATGTCCAAGTATTATTTGGAAATCTGATTACATGTAGAGATGGAAGAGTGTTCATGCCCCCTTGTTTACTTCACTATTTTTTATTTTCTTCGCCAGTCAATGGATTCTGAATTTTTGATAACTTGTAGAGAAACGAGGATAAGCGAAAATTTTATCCCTTGTTTACTTCACTATTTTTTATTTCCTTCGCCTTTTTCTGTTTCCGCTTACCTTTTCTGTGAGCTGCTGCACGCTCGCTTGTACCTCAGGGTGTCCTTTCTCATAAGCGACGTCTGTGAGTGGACTAGCTGATTGGATGGGGGTTAACCAACCGCCTTTTTTCAGGAACATTTGCTGTGATTGAGGGTCTCTCTCCACGTGGCCGCCATCGAGGATCATTCTCTCCACCATTTCTACTTGAAACTGATGTACGGCGATGGCACTGTTTATTGGAACTGTCGTACGGCGCTCGCGCTGATTATTATTAGTTAGATTGTGTAGCGATAGGGCTTCATTTTGTACCAGAGCGGCGCAGAGTAACTGGCTAGTGGTTCTGGTTGACCCCCCCTTGGTTCAGTCCTTCGATCTTACGAGGTAAGAGCAAGTGAATGCTCCACTTTCGTTCCGACCAGAGGTTTGGGGGGTTGAAGATGGTACAGCAATCAGCTTGTTCTTTGATCGATACACGAGGCCGTCAGCCGCTAAGGTTTGGGGGGTTGGAGATGGTACAGCAATCTTTTCACTCCACTCCACTTGCGTCTGGTTCATGCGCATGTTTGTGGTGAGGCTTCTGCTAGTTTGTCTCGGCTGGGATTCTGCTGCGACTGCTCTCACATAGTAAAGAGCAAGAAACAGAGAAGAATAATTGTGGTGGTGGTGGAGGAGGGGGGGGAGGGGGGGGGAGTACAAAGTACTTGAAGATGGTGGTATGGTGCAGCAGCCAGCTTCTTCGCAGAGCGGTGGAGTAATCAGGGGGCAGATGGTCTTCCTGGTCTTATACATGATCTGTAAATGTGTGTGTTCCTGCTTAGTTGTCTGTGTGTATGCGTGGGTACGTGCGTCCAAGAAAAAGACCTGTGAAAAGAGAGGCGTGGGGAAAGTGGCAGCAGAAGAGGAGGGGCAAGTGTGTGGGTGGCGAGCTGCGTGCCTACCACCTTCCTGTTGGTGGGAGGGATGACGATTGACTGGATTGACAGGAAGCAGCTGTGAAGTGGATTCACAGGTGGTCCCATGCACCGTAAACTGGATTACAGGCAGCAGCCATAAAACTGTGCTGCAGATGATGTTTTTGCTTATTTGGCAAGTGCATCTGGTCAACGCTCAGTATGAAGGGAACTGCATTTGTGAATTTTGTGGTGAAATGCTGCCTTTTAGCTTTGGCACAGGCTTCAGGCTTTCCTTAAGTAACTGAGAGAGTGTGTCTGTGTTGTAAGATGTGACGCCTTTTGTATACAATGTGGATGAAAGGTTTTCGGAAATGGCTGACAGCAATGGTTTTCAAAACTTTTCATCTTTTGGGTTAGTTGACTTCTTTTCCTGTGTACTTCCCCATATTTTGGCAGCGTTAGGTGTGTCTTTGAAAAGCTGCGAAATGTTTTTGGAACATGTGCATTTCAGATTTTCTTTCTGGCAAGAATGACAATGTTGTTGGCTGTATTATGTGTGTGCAAGCGTCAAGGTATCCTGTCTGTTTTGTACGCACGGGCATTCCTCCGTAGATGGGACATGTTTTTTTGAACTTTTTTCTCTTTTTCTTTTTTTCTGATGTGGTCGTATGAACCATGAAAAACTGTTTCCGGTGTTTCCTCTCTATTAGGAGGCTTCTTTTTTTTTTTTTCCAAGTTTGAGTCAGGGGCGGTCCACGAGGCGATATGTGGGAGCGTATCATCGTAACCTGATATTATACACTTTTTTTTTTAAACACCCGCACCAGTGTTATACACATTGATCGAAGTGGATAGGAAATTCGGTCCTGACATAGTGTGTGGAGTCTCTGCTTGTGCCTTCATTTTCATCGCAGTCAGACTTCGTCTGCCATCTCTTTTTTTTGGAGGAAGATGTCGCAGCCTGATTYTTTTTTKTYTTKTTYYTTTTTTTTTTTTTTTTTTTTTTKTTATGTGTCACTGGGAATTATCTCTCAGCCTTTATTYTTTGGCTCAGCGTGATTGTTGGTTTCTGCTGAGGACTGCCTGGCTGTTTCTTGAAGAGTCCTCGTTAAGTCGGTCCCCTCTTCGCGAGTCCACGAGAGTAATGGCGGTTATCGTGAAGTATTATATTTCAGGGATGCTGCTCTGCTATTGCGGAACAACTGTTCCCCGCAAACTTTTCCTTTCTGTTTGTATGATTATTATGATGAGGCGAGGCGTTCGATGCAGCGTGAAGTTTGGCTGTGAGAGGCGTTTCGAGTTCCATTCTGTTGGTGTCATAGCCTTGACACTGAAGGTCTGGTTTTTCCATCAGGCCCAGATTCTAGATGACAGCATGTGTTGCCTGTGAGTGAGGACTTCAGACTTGTCAAGAGCTGTCAGAGTAACATACAAGTGCGATTGAAGTGCGCTCTTAATGGGGTGAGAAAGTTTTCTTCCTCTTTTTTTCGAGGTTCCAAGTGCAGATGCTGGCTTTCTGAGTTCATCAACTCGTCAGGGGAATAGGACAATGTAGTGCGGCCAGCCATAACTAAGAACTCATTGACAGCGATGCCCAATAAATTGTGCCCGTTGTGGTTAAGGTCTCCCGGTTCAGGCTATCTTCAGCCGTTATCCCTGCGGTGAGGCAGGTTGATAGCTGCAGAGCCACAGCTACTGGCAACGTGCCCAATCTTTGTGGCATTCAGACCCCCGTTGGCGACCCCAACTCTGGCAAGGGGCAACATCCAATCCCTTCATTGTGAGGTACCTATGCTTGCAGGGGTCCCCTGTATAGCATTACGAGACGTGCACAGCCACATACGCCCAAGTGGCTCACCTCTCTCTCTCTCTCTC